AGTTAGTTCTTGATGCTTGTTAATTGTTATGGCTCTCAGGCAGAAGGGTACTTAAGGGTCTGCGGACTTACGACGCTAGAAACCGAGTTTCGACACCCTTGGTAGGCAGAGCACAGATAGCCCATTGTGTAGCTTTGTGCTTAACTTCAAAAATAAACTATTAAAAAAGTACCTGCGTATAGCTGTTCCTAATTTTGGACTGAATGACTAGAGGTCAAGCAGGTAGTCAACAGTACCTACCTCAAACTCTTGAGCTATTCTTGTTTGGCTTAATAATGAGATTTGATAGTTACTCATATACAGTGCCTAATTATAGAACAACTAACCGAATCCTGTTTAGTTTTGGAAGTTTGAGGTTAATATTTGGAATTAGGCAGGAAAGTGAAACATTGTTAGTTATGTAATATCTTCTACCAAAAGAACTGCTGAAAGTCTACAATAATAATTACAATTAATAATAAATAGTCATAATTACGAGTAACAAGCAAACTACAAAAAGCCTCCACGACCACTCAGCCCTTGGTCATCAGTTAAATACTCTCGCTGCTGGGGGTGTTTTTGGCCTTTCGGATATCAATTACCAATGTAGTCGAGGCAGTCTTAAAATCAATTATAGTGTTTCCGCCTTTAGATTTGAAAAACTCTCAAATAGGTTCTGGATCTTAGGTTTGGAGAGATTCGGCAGCAGTTAAAAACTGCTCTTATAGCTCAGACTTAACTGCTCAGACATAAAGTGCGGAGCGCATTTGTGTGGCAACGGGCCGCGATCCAAGTCCCCTTGGTTTCACATCCTGAGCACGCTTGATTTAATTAATAAAGAGGATGAACTTTTCTAAACCACTCGAATGGGACTATAAAACCCTCTACAGTGATGTAACGTTTACGTGCAGTGTTGACAGATGCGTGATTTCTTACAGAATTGGGCTTCTTCGAAAAGAAAGTCGCAGGGAAATACTTAGGAGTCGTTTGTTGCTACTATTTGGGCTACTCTCAAAAAGTCTCACGGTTATGGAGCTAGATTAGTTTACTTTATTAGCCAATAAATAACCGACCCTGAAAAGCATTAAACTGGAGAAATTAGTCCTGTCTACAACGTTTTGGCCACGATTACTACACGCAAACGTATTCAAATTGTGAACCAATCAGATCATATTTGTTGCACACATCAATTTGAACTGACTTGGGGAGGGGAGGGAGAGACGGTTGCCCAATTAACAGTGAGTAGCCATTTAGAGCAACAGGTAGAAACCTCGAATCCGTTAGGAAGTAAAAAAAAAAAACAGACCTCAAAAGTTCAATTTTATAAGATATGCCACTGAGTAAATGGGTCAAATATGGAAAATAAATATTGCAAATACTGAAAAAAAAAGGTTTAAAAGAATGGAATAGCAGTGTACCTGGTAATGATTTAATTTAAAATCAGCGTGTCAATACTGTAAATGTGAAGTTTGAGCACACCACAACGATCTGTTAGCTCATAGTAAGATGGGGAAGCATAGTGGAAATGCAAGAACCTTATTTAACATGAGAATTAATTAAGCAAGCATAAGTTGACAATTATGTTAAAAACTCTGTGAAGACAGTAATGTTTCTGTGCAACTTCTTCGACTATGTGACCTAACTGATCACTTGTGAGGATGTTGGAATGGCAAGAAATATGGGCTGCCAGCTTGAACTCACAAAATGCACATCACTTATAAAATCTATAATCGGGCCTTTTGTTCATCCAGAGATGCTTGAGAACATTGGCAAGGAGCCATGTTCTCTAATTGTGGACGAAAGCATGAAAATCAGTGCAGAAAAGCAATAGGTGTGGTGATAAGGTACTTCAGCAAAACCCTTGAACGTATCATGAAATCGTATGTAAGGATTATTACCTTGCACTAGATGATTCGAACAGTACTGCAATAACTACATTTAAATTATTGAAAGAAAACTAATTGGAAGTGAAAAGGTTCATTGGTTTGACAACAGCTAGTTGAAATACAGTGTGTGGGAAAAACAAATTGGCGAGATTAATCCGAAAATTACGTACCTCAAGTATGTTTATCATTACTGCTGCTTTGTGCATCTAAAGCAGTGAGCGTATTTCCTTGAAACATTAGGTACACGGTATCAGAGACGGTTTTCTCATGTTATACAGCGTCAGAATAAGTAAGGGGTGTTGCAATATAAATCACACTTTTTTCCCCAAAAGCATAACAAAGTAAAATAAGATTTTAATTCATCAAAAAGGTAGTTCCAAGTATCAATATCACTTGATTTGGCCACCATTGTTCTCACGTACGAGTTTTAATAGATTTGCAAAAGATTTCAGCAATGCAACAAACATGTCTGTTTTTATGGCTGTCTCTGTGAACGCATCAGTGAGAACACGAATCAAGGTTTCACGTTTGTGTCTCTCGCATTCAGGCAAAGTTTCCAATATTTATTCTGTGCATTGTTAAACGAAAGTTCCGACTTGAATTCTTGGAGCATGTCTGCAATTAGTTTCTGAGCCATCCCGAAGGCAGCACATGTGACACGAACCTGAGTTCTAGAGAGTACCATGATTTAAAAGTTTTCGCAAAAAATGATATTTGCGGTCCTACCAAGTACGTCATTACTTCAGAGGAAAAAGTTTGATTTATTTTGCAACAGCACGAACTCTATGCCACTATTAATGTTGGAAAATCCTCCCCGAAGATTTTTATAGAGCCACAAGATGGTTCGCGTGTTGATCGATTGCTTTCTCAGTGCGAAGGGCTAAAGTTGCATTTTTAGCTTACAAAGGACAATGAAAGGAACTACATGCTGAACTACTGTACCAGATGTAGTCAGACCCTGCAAACACAATGTATCTGGTGTTTCTTCAGCCCATTGTTAGTGAGGTCAGCAGGATAAACAAGCTGTTTCAGCTTGACAGCCCCAATCTAGCGAAACGCCTTACAGATTTAATAACATTCTACCCCAGTATGATTCAACGAATTATAAAACCTTTGATGTGGTCATCTCTACTACACTTCCGCACAACTTTTACAAAAAAAAATGCCACTTTCAACATTTAACTTTGGGATCAAATTTCAGTTGGAGCTGTTAGAGTCAAAGGTCGAAACACGGAAAAAGAAGAGTTAAAAACAGATACAGAAATTGCATGATCGAGTTTGTGAAAGAAATAAATCAAAGGTTGCCTTCCAATATGCAGCTACTTTCCGTTCTCGGCCCATTCATTGTACTCAGCTCCAGAAAGTCATAGTTGGCAAATTTATCATTTTTGCCACTTTTAATAGAAATCTTAACAAATAGCAATGGCGAGACCTAATATTGAACCCTGGATGCACACTGAAGGTAGCCAGACTAAAGAGTTATAAGTTAAAGTAGCAACACACACTGATGTTGCTGTGATAAAATTTCCCTTAAATAGGCCTCTTTGCTTTATCTTTTTAAGCCTTACCCAATGCAGCAGTGGAGCGTGTTTTTTCTCAAATGGCCCTAATAAAAACGAAACTTAGGAACCTATGCAAGAGATCCTGTTGGAAAACATTCTTTGGATCAAAGCATTCAATATACAGCGCTATAAGATATGCTGCAACTGATTTCAGTCATCCAAGGCAATGCCGTCACTGTTTTCCGTGGATATATGTGATGATGCAAAAGATATAGAAGATAAATTAGACGATGCCGAGGAGCTATTTTAGAACTAAAAATATTAACATCAGGTATTTTTGTAAAATGTTATAAAAAAAAACTAGCTTTTTTCCTTTCTACACAGTTAAAATGGACTTGAGAAGATAGATCTGGATGATGATAAGGAGCTGAAGGTAAGAAATTAAAAATATTTTATTGTTATATGTTAGACTTAACTACGGGACATGATTTATTTTTAAAGTTTAGTTGTTGGGCCTGATTTTTGCACAATATTGAGGTTTTTAAGGTGCATTTAAGTGACATTGACCACCTTATTAGATTAGTGATATATTGTTACGTCTCTGGTCGTTAGTTAATTTTCCGTAAAAATTCTTTCCGAAGAAACTTTAACGATACAAGTCCTTTCTTCAATAAAACTGGTTTATTCTTTCTGAATACAACTTTGCAATACACTTAATTTCCGCAGTCACGCTATAACAAACGCTATAATTCACAACGAACGCCTCACGTGCTCGACTCAAATGTTAGTCTCTATCTCTGTCTGCAGTTCAATTACATTATTGCCGTCACTTCTTGGCGATCTTATATACAATAATACCGTACATCTAGTAAACACTCGAAGCTTCACGAAGGGGCATGATTTTTCTAGAAGTTCATGACGTGTTAATAGAGTCACTTGATTTCCGCTGTCGTAACAATATCTTTAAAAGAATGAAAATTTTCCACATGTTTAGATTATTGTTTGGGATATAATACCAGCATTAGTGTTTCGGTGAAGGAGTAATACTGTAATCCGTATTCTGGTATGAATGTTTGTGCCTTCAGTGCTTGCGTATAGATTTCTTGATAATGACGTGTTGTGTTGAGGCTTATTGTTTTGTAATTACTAATATTTTTTATTTTTATTTTTACCTTTTGATTGGTTTTCGATTAATAGGCTTACGTGTTACTAACAAACTTAGTTTTAGTAAAAAAAGAAGGTTAGTTTTTAGTTTTATGTTATGAATTAAGTACCCTTGCTGCTAGCGGTGTTTTCGGCGTTCACATATTAATTAGCAATGTAATCGAGACAGTTTTAAAATTAATTGTAGTGTTTCTGCCTTTAGATTCGGAAAAATCTTATATAGGTTCTGGATCTTAGGTTAGGAGAGATTCTGCAGAAGTTAATGAGTGCTCTTATAGCCCCACAGCTATAAAGTGCAGAGCGAATTTTTTTGCTGCTACGAGCCATGGCCCATGACTCCTTGGTTTCATAGTCCGAGTACACTTATCACTTATACGTCTATCTTCGAGATTTGTTTATGAAAATTCTAATAAATTAGTTAAAAAATATCTGGGAAACTGGATGTATATTTGAATATGACTATAACGCCCTCTATAGCAATGCCACGTCTTCATGGTAGCCTGGTATTCTGCATGTGATCGAATTTACTGGTTGGCAGGCCTATTTATAGTTATACTATAAGTTATAGTTGTACTTGAATATCTGGAATATTTTTATGTGGTTTAGAAACATGTATAAGTGTTATGACATCTGCTTTTTTGTAATATATTTAACAGTAACTGTTGAGTCTTTAATGCTTCAATTACCCCCGAATAGTAAACGTTGTTTAAAGGAGGAAATTGAGAAGAAAGTTCTTGTGATAGGAGAGTATGAACTAGGTGACGCTCCGGGGCAGAAAACCGATATTGCCGTACGTAAGGTTTATTAAAATTAAAAAGTATAGAGAATTGCCATTTAGATTTTAATGAACTTATTTAGTGATTGTTTTGTTTGATATATCTATACGAGTATGTTTTGAAATTTTCAATGTGTATAAATCTATTCTATATTATTATTATCAATAAAACTTAAAACAAAAACAACGCGTTTCAGTTTGACTTGCATTTTTCAGTTTTCTTTCATTATCCATAGACTAATTGGTTAATGTGTAAGTTCTAGTAAAAGTCTATTGATATCGTTGCAGTCTGTTTGATTAGTATTTATAGGCCCACCATATGAACTTAAGCTTCTCTTTGTTACGATTTCTAATAATTTGTGTTTTTGCAACAGAAATTGCAAATTTATTGTTTGTACCTAATGAATGACCTAAAAGTTTGATGACAAGGAACCCATTTTTTTTTTTTTGTAAAATCAAGTTTGGAGACTCTTGGAGTGGCTAGTAGAGTAGAATTTCTTTCACTACCCATTCAAACTGTCTACTAACTTTATCACCTAAAAGTTTATTTAAATAGCTTTTTTGCAAGTAATGTATGCCCAATTTGCCTGAGAAATGTAGTTTTTTTTTAGAATGTAGTTAGGGAGTGATATATACCTGGCAGTTTTGTTTTCTAAAGGCTATATACATGATAATCAGGTTTGTGTTATCTATTTCTAAAAATTTACAAGTGAAAGTAAAGAAAAATGTATAACGATATGTCATCTATACTGCCTTTTATAGTGCTATATCCGGTGCAGACGAAATCTTTCACCCAGTACTAGAGCTCATCAGACAAGCCAACTGACAGATATAGTGAGGGAGATGGTAAACTAGACAGCTGACAGATATTGTGGGGGAGATGCTAAACTAGCCAGCTGACAAATATAGTGGGGGGATATGGTAAACTAGCCAGCTGACAGATATAGTGGGGGATGTGGTAAACTAGCCAGCTGACAGATATCGTGGGGGAGATGGTAAACTAGCCAGCTGACAGATATAGTGGGGAGAGATGGTAAACTAGCCAGCTGACAGATACTATGGGGGAGATGTTAAAATTAAGGCTTTATAAACAGGGATTGAGCATTTGACTGGTCACAAAAAAGTCTTTGTTAGCCAGTTAAATATGGACAGATACTTTTTATTATTTCTCTTTTATCTTAATTGCATATATTAAATTTTACTTAATCTTAATTATTTTACTTCCTAAGGTTTTGTATCTCAATAAATGAATAAATATAGAGTTATCATGGTTCACACTCCAATTATTCTATGGTGGTATCTTACATTTTCCATTTGGTCCAGATCTTTTTGTTTTTGAATCTTGGCTCTACTATATTCAGCCCTCTCCATTCATATAGTTCTATTAGATGGCTATGTTCCGGGGGTAATGAATTTGGTGGTAGGTCAATTGTCTAGACCCTGCCGGATTTTCTCAACAGAATAGATGCTTCATCGAGGGCTTTTCTGTTGGATTTGTTCTCGGTTTGGGACACTGATGATTGTTGCATTTCCCCCACATTGGAACTCCAACTACTGGCATTTTGGTTTCTGGTACTTCACCTTTGGACATTGGCAATAAATACACTTCGTCAGGACTGGACTGGTTTGCACCTATGTGCCTACCCACCTATTTGTCTGTTCCCCAGGACTCTAGCAATGATTTATTCAACCCCTGGTCATGTTCTGTTGGTGGCACCGGATTGGCCTGGCTCAACCCTGGTTTCTTCTTCGGTGGTACCTTCAGCAGTGCCCATCTCTTCCACTTTCTCTTTTGACTGACTCTATCGAGGCAGCCATGATCTGACATCTTACACTGATCCATCCTGAAGCTCATGCATGGAGGTTGTATGGTCCTTTGCATGGCATTGGGGTTTAATTTCTAAGGTTACCACATGCCTGTCTCAGTCTCTGCATTGTCCCACAATGGTCATTTATCAACAGCAATGACAAGCATATCTACAATGGTATATTGTGTGAAGGTTGAACCCACTTCTTCCAGATGTGCCAACCATAGCTCAGTTTTGACTTGACTCTTTGACAAGTGTTTTGCATCTTCCACAATAGCCCTATATAAGGTAGCATTATCGGCTACCTTTCGATACTCAAAGAGATAGAAATTCTTTGAGTTTCCAGTGCTCTCCAGCCTCCTCAAGTTGCTTTGGGTCCTCTGTTCCAAATTACCATTTCAGTTACCTAAATGGGATATATACGAGATGATGTTACATGCTTTTTCGTGACATTCATTTGAGCTCTTAGTCTCAGGTACTATGTATCACCTTTCCTTTAAGGTTTATTTTTTGTTGCTGCTGACCTGTGGACGGTGCCGGTCGGAGTTGTGTGCACTGCACGGGCACAGGACGCTTGTTCACTATAATTATGTCCTTCTATACCCAGACATGTCTGTCTTACCTAAGACACTGGAAGCCAAGGAAGGGGATAAATACTTTTCACTGATTCATCTGACCACTATTTCTCACCTCTGAACAATTGGATCCTGATCATTTGTTATGTCCAATGAGGGTCTCCAAGTGTTGTATTGCATGCATTAAAGCTTTTAGAGATGCTAGACACTGGTTTTTTTATTCATTGTGACCCTTCAGTTTCCCAGGATTTATCCTCAGTTACCTTGACAGAGTGGATACGAAAATTGATCCATATTGCTTATTCTGGGTTCTCTTTGGAGGCGAGGAGACTTCTGCAAGTCACATCTCATCAGATTTGTCACATTTCTTTGTTGTTAACAGCCCAGTTGAATTACCCACTGGAGGACATTGTGGGGGCTGATATGTGGATCTCCCCTAATACTTTTGCTCACATTATTTGCATGAACTGACAGTATTTTCCTCTGAGGGTTTTCAACTACCCCCTGTAGCTATCTGCTAGATGATATAGAGGGATGAATATTTTCATTGCTAATTTCATCTCTTCTTACCTTTCCAGGATCTTACTCTGTAGCAAGTGTTGCCCAGGCAGTTGTGCTTTTATCAAACCAATTCCACACTAGCAATCACTAATTTAATATCCTTTATACAGGTTGCCGGGTAGTATTACCCTTCTATGCTGGACTGCCATTCATGGACCATCACGAATAAAGCATAAGGGGATTATGCCCATCCCTACTGATCAGTGGACTGAATAAATCCAGTTCAGTTGTTCCCCAGGTCTCCCCAAAGCATATACCCCCCCTCCTGTTCTAGTGGAGCTAGAGAGTCCTTATCACTCCTGGTTCCCAGACACTGGAGTGGCAGGCAGAGATTATTTCTCCAGAGTGTTTGAATGCCGAAGAAGAAGGACCCTGAATGTTTTTTTCCCAGATATTGGCAGGAGCAGCACCAGCCTATGCGAGAGCCTACTCATAATACCGATTAAGATTTGACACTTAGCTATCTGGTTGGGTTGAGCATGACCTTTCTTTTTGATCAATATTGGTTCAGTACATTGTTCATGGAAGAGGGCCCATTGTCTCTTTGTAATTCCAAACACAGAGTGGTCCCATCCTGGGTCCTTGGTTGAGCACCAGTTGCTCCACGTCCTCCCCATAATTCTAGGAGCAAGAGGAATTTTCCTTGCCCATATAGTTGAGGAGTGATGATGAGTGTATAATTCCAGACCAGATGAGTTGTGTTTCCTCAGCTTGAGTATGGTATACAGGATCCCATCATTCCGAGTTTGGGGTGTTGCCCTTTGGACTTCAGGTTGAGGAGAAGGTTTGTCCACTTTGGTGTTGCTTACCTTCCTGTTATGATCCTTATGGTGTGGAATGCATAACTTTATAGCTACAGTTTGGGATCCACTTGCAAATATATCTCTTGCAGTCCAAATGCCCTAGCCACCAATGTGAGATTTAGGGGCCATGGCCCTATAATTCCTTGTTGGGGCCTGGCCAATGGTGATGACGGATCAAATCAATTTCTCCCACAGTGCATGACTTAGGTTCCGGGTGAAAAATATACATGTTCTGGATGTAGTGCAGTCCCCCACTAGGGTGCTAATCTTCTACTGGCATGACAACAATCTATGCAGACACATTCTGTATGGATGATGCCCTCACCGGCCCCTCCTCCTTATCAATATGGGATTCTAGCTGTAGTGTGAGTGCAGTCAAGTATGTTTTGGAAGTTAACATTTTCTTAAATCAAATTTATTTCAAATAACACTTACCTCCTTTCACACTCTCCTGCCATTCCTTCAAACTAAGAGCTGGTGTTAGGGACTGCGGATTCAGTCAGTCTCGAAAAAATGACAATATTATCTGAAGGAGGTGCTTATATACTGTACCAAGAGATAGTCATGAAAGATAATGCCAAGAGCAATTAAGTGGGGAATAAAAGACTGGAGCAAGTGAGAAAAATCATACCAATGCTTAGTTGGGCAAAGGTAAAGAAATCCTAGCAGTTGAGAAATAACTGTAAGTGAGGGAGGTAAGTATTATTGGAAGTACATTTTCGATTTAAGAAAATGATAACCTTTTGGGTATAAAAAATTTACCGAAAACCTTCAGCTAATATGTAGGTATTTATGATATTTTATACAGGTTTTGGATTATTTGACCAGTACTTTACTTGTCAGTCATTTTATAAGCTTTCTTGCCTGTCCAGGAATAGCAAATTAACTCTTGGGAGGCAAAAGATGATATCGGCATGGTAGTCAGTAATTGGTGAATTAGTTTTCCATTTTTGTGTGAGTATATTAACCATTAATTATATGTTTATTTTAATTTTATTGAGAAAAATTGAAAATAATTAAAATGGCTTTTCATAGATAAATAGATAATACTTTCTCTTTTAGGTCACAGATTCTAAAGGACAGGTGTTGGTATCCAGAGAAAACATTGACAAAGGAAAATTTGCTTTCAACACAGATGAGTTCGATGTATTTGAAATATGTTTTTTGACTAAAATGCCTGTAGGTAAGGACTGTTAGAAATAAGAACTATACAGGTTTAAGTAAGAACTATACATTCATACTGTAATGTTGACAAGAAGGATAACACATGAACTATACATTTATACCGTATTGTTGACAAGAAGGATAACACATGAACTATACATTTATACCGTATTGTTGACAAGAAGGATAACACATGAACTATACATTTATACCGTATTGTTGACAAGAAGGATAACACATGAACTATACATTTATACCGTATTGTTGACAAGAAGGATAACACATGAACTATAC